ATTTCTAAAATCCATAGAGCAGTCTGGCTGGTAGGAGTGGATGTTAGCCTTCAGTCTAAATTCTTCAGGGCAGCAGGCTGGAAACTCAGGCAGGGTTTCTATGTTTTAGTCTTGAGGAGAATTCTTTTTTTTTTTTCCAGAAAACCTGTTTTTTCTCTTAAGGTTTTTACTTGTTGGATGAAGCCCACCTGTTTTTTGGAGGGTAATCTGCATTACTCAAATTCTGTTGATTTAATTGTAAATCTCTTCTTAAAAAATACCTTCACAGCAACAGTAAGACTAGTATTTGACCAAACACTGGGCATCATGGCCAAACCAAATTGACACACAAAATTAAGTATCACACTTGCCCTCTGAGGAACCAGGGTACTTATTTTTAGTCTAGGTATAGGCTGATTGCTGTCTGCTTCATAATACGTATCCTTGCTCCAGCTAAACTAGCAGCTCTATAGTATGTGTATTTTATGTGTACATAGTATGTATGTTTTACATACATGCCCCTGCTTTTACATGTCTTTTCTTTGGTCATAGTGTATCTTCAGTTCAGAATGCTCTGTGCTGTCCAGATCTTATCTGTTCTGAAGGCTAGATCACAGACATACACAATTTTCTTTACATCCTATACACCAACTCTCCTGAACTGCTTCCTGTCCCCTAATTATGCTGTGTTTTGTCATGCCATAGTGCTTTTGGACACAGATTCCTATTGCTTGGCCTATTCTTCCCTCTTACTTTCTATAAGGCTTTTATAGCTTCCTGAGATAAACTCTGTGTGCCTTTTCACTATGCTCCCATTGTCTTCCTTGCTTATTTCTACTCAGGCACTGATCACATTTTATTGTCATTAGTTGCATATCTGTCTGCCCGTGAGACTTTGTTTCTTGAGAACAGGGGTCACTGCACTGCTGTCCTCTTCAGAGTTTATCCTCAGCCAAGCCCAAGTATCTGGACTGTAATTTATAAAATGAATAAGCTGAGTCTATGCTGAAGATTTGGAAATTGTATATTTCTTCTGTAATTTCTCTTTATAGTAGAATGTGGAGATAATGACTTCTTGGGGCTGAAGCAAATCTGAATACCAGAGATGAACCTTGGATTAGATTCTGAACATACCTGTGCATATTAAATGTTTGCTCAACTCACTATAGAAGTGGTTTTATTTATTTTTCCATTCTGTGCAAGGTACATAACTTAAATTGTTACATTAAGAAAAGTTGTTTCTGATTAGAAATGTTGATTTATTATTGCTTGCATGTATGTGTACTTGTGTTCTAAGAAAATCAGTGCATCTAAGACTGCTTCAGCTTCTTTCTAGCTAAAATGTGATGGTGATAACTGATGACGAATTTGTAAACAATCTTTACATGAAGATAAAATAACTTTTTCCTTTTCCTATTAGATGTTGATCATCTTTCTGAAGTAGAATCTCCATGGCCTGAACAATTTCTGAAAATCATTTGGAGCAAAATAGCTGTTTAATAACAAGATAACTACATCAAGATGGTTGGAAAACTGAAGCAGAACTTACTATTGGCATGTCTGGTGATTAGTTCTGTGACTGTATTTTACTTGGGCCAACACGCCATGGAATGCCATCACCGAATAGAGGAGCGTAGCCAGCCCCTCACGTTGGAGAGCACGAGGACCACGGTGCGAACTGGCCTGGACATCAAAGCCAATAAAACCTTTGCCTATCACAAAGATATGCCTTTAATATTTATTGGAGGTGTGCCTCGGAGTGGAACCACACTCATGAGGGCCATGCTAGACGCGCACCCTGATATTCGCTGTGGAGAGGAAACCAGGGTCATTCCTCGAATCCTGGCTCTGAAGCAGATGTGGTCACGGTCGAGTAAAGAGAAAATACGCTTGGATGAGGCTGGTGTCACTGATGAAGTGCTGGATTCTGCCATGCAGGCCTTCTTACTGGAAATTATTGTTAAGCATGGGGAGCCAGCCCCTTATTTATGTAATAAAGATCCTTTTGCCCTGAAATCCTTAACTTACCTTGCTAGGTTATTCCCCAATGCCAAATTTCTCCTGATGGTCCGAGATGGCAGGGCATCAGTACATTCAATGATTTCTCGGAAAGTTACTATAGCTGGGTTTGACCTGAACAGCTACAGGGACTGTTTGACCAAGTGGAATCGTGCCATAGAGACCATGTACAACCAGTGTATGGAGGTTGGCTATAAAAAATGCATGTTAGTTCACTATGAACAACTTGTCTTGCATCCTGAACGGTGGATGAGAACTCTCTTAAAGTTCCTCCAGATTCCTTGGAACCACTCAGTATTACACCATGAAGAGATGATTGGGAAAGCCGGGGGAGTATCTCTGTCAAAGTGAGTAGATGTTATATTTTTATTTGACCCTATAGTCAGCTAATAAAGGTCTGTGTGTTTGTGTATGTATGTATATGTGGAGTGTGTGTGTATATATATATATATACACACACACACACACACACACACTATATATCTATAGTGATTATATATATGTGTGTGTGTGTGTATGGAAACTATAGACCTTTTCTGGAATAGATATAGCTTCATCAGTGAGTTTTTTAAAAATTCTCTAACCAACTCATTACAGACCTTTTCATTTATTTAATTCATTTTTTAAATGTGTTGTTGCACTTTTATTTATTTATTTTAGAGTGAGCTAATTAGGTTTACTTATTATTTATTTTTAGAGAGGTACTGGGGATTGAACCCAGGATCTTGCGTATGCTAAGCATGTGCTTTACCACTTGAGCTATACCCTCCCCCCAATTCATTTTAAAATTTATGAATTGTCCTTTTTATTTATTTGATAGAAGGAAACCCATTTTATAGCAGTATATGGCCTTTTTCATGGTCCTCTGGCTTTAATGTCTGTCATTCATTTTGGTGTTTTCTGATGTTTAATTTCTAGATATTTTTGCTAATAAGGATAGTTGGCTTTTGTGTATATTAAGGTCAATATAAGAAAAAGCATGTATAATGTTGGTGAGTATGTAGTGAATTCCAGGCATTTAGGAAATTTTAGTGATAGGGAAAAGGTTAAAATTATCTAACCCAGTTCCTTCACTTTACAGGTAGGAAGTACTCAGTCAGAAAGACCAAAATTATTTACTCAGATTTAGACGGCAAGGCCAGAATTAGAATTCATGCTTTGGTCTAAATGGGCTAATGCTTTTTTCCATGGCATTTTATTACACGTAGTGTTTCTTTTGTTATCTGATGGATACATCTCTTGAGTTTTACAAAAGGTTAGAGAATCTCTGAAATATGGAATCTTAATCCATAATCCATACAAGAAGCTCCCTGGATTCAAACACTTCTAAAACCATTGCAGTTTTCTTCCTTTCTCATAAAATGCTGACTGGGGTGCCCTGACTTGATGTGGTAATCTGACCTGATGACTTATGTACCTAGAATAAGGGTATAAAAATAGAAACTACTGTTAAATTCAGGTAGCATCTCCTCATGAAGAAAAGTTAGCTATAACTAAATTTTATTTTTCATCTTTCCATTTATAAAAGCAATATATATCCCCTGTAAAAAAAAAAAAGAAAAAGAGAAAGCAGTGTGCTTCCCTTGTGTGCCCTGCTTGCCCCTATCAAGGAATATCGTCTTGATTTTTTTTCAAAGTGTAAAACTTGTACAGTAAATATTGATTCTTCATGTATATAATTTGTGAAACCTAGCATTCAGTTATTGATTATAAATTATTAGGTGTTATCATCCCAGTGACTTTAGGTTATTTTTATTGATTCACAGAGAATTACAGCTCTAGCTGTTGTCATCACAGTTTATTGTTCTTTCCTGATATTACACCATAACTAATTTCTAATTGCCTGTATTCCTAGGTAAGCACTTCAGACTATATGCTTGTATCTTGGTCCAGATATTGTAGTTTAATATAAAATGAGCATATTAGACACTCCTACCCCCTGGCTCTCTCCAAGTAGGGATTAAAGATATATGCTCAGGTTAAGTTCTTGTGGAAATCAGGAAAAGATAATTTTCCTAACATGAAGACCAAGGAAATTCATAGAAATTTCAAATCAGTAAATTTTAGAAGGGAAAGAGATCTTACTTAGCATGTAGGATATGGAATGGAGACCCAGTAAGTTTCTATGCTTTGTCACGAATCCATGGCAGAACCATGACTGGAACTTCCAATGCTTATTCTAAGATTCTTGCCACCATATGAATTTTTAGAAATTAAAGTATAATGTATATAATAGGTGCACAAATATTCAGTGTACAATTTGATGAATGTTTATATCTCTATGCACTTGTGTACTTATCATCCATATAAAGATACAAAAAATTAACAGCAATCAAAAGTCTTCTTTACGCTTCTTCTCGGGCAATATCCTCCTCAGTTCCAGAGTAACCACTGTTCCAACTTCTTTCACCAGAAGTCATGTGAGGTTGTATATGCAGTTCAGAAACAATCAATCTTGCTTGTTTTTTAACTTCATATAAATGCGGTCATGTCTATTTATTATCTTGTGCCTGGCTTTTTTCATTTAACATTTAGATTCATCCATATTATACATAGCAGTAGTTCATTCTTTTTCATTGCTGTGTAATATTCCAGTAGTTAAATAGAATCTCTTACAAGGCTGCAATCAAAGCTTAACTGGTAAGGGACTATTTCCCAGTTCACATGGTTTTGGATAAGATTCAGTTCCTAATGGATGTTGGATGGAGGATCTCACTGCCATGAAGCTTTCTCTGTATGGCTACTCACAACATAACAGACTTCATCAGCAAGCAAATGAGAAGAGCCAGAGAAAGTGAGCAAGACAGAATTCACATTTTCGTAACCTAATCTTGCAAGTGCCATCCTTTCACTTTTGCCACATTTATCAGAAGCAATTCCATAGGTCCAGCGACAGTCAAGGGGAGGGGATTAACAAAAGGAATACCAGGAGTTGGGAATCATTGGGTACCATTTTAGAAGAAGCTGACCAGTCTGCCGTCTCGCTGCCAATGACTCATTTCCCTTTCATATGCAAAATACATTTCCCCATGTCCCAAAATTCTCATCCCATTACAACCTTAAAGTCCAGCATCTTGTCATCTAAATCAGGTCTAGTTGTGGATGGGGCTTCTGGGTATAATTTCTTACATATAGGTCCTTGAATACAATTGCTCTCGATCTGAAGATTTGTGACACTAAAGATACAAGTTATGTCCTCACCCCATCCCCAGCACCAGTATACAGTGGTGGAACAGTCATAGAGTAAAGACATTGTTACTTAAAATGAGGGAAATAGGAAGCACAAAAGTAAAACTGGTTCATATCAATTCTGAAATACATCTGGGAAAATGTTACACATTTTTTGATGAGGTCTCAATCCAATATAAATTGAAGAATTATTTTCCATGTCTCTCTGCTCTGCCCTCTTCCTTTTTTTAGAAAGATAGCACATATTTTGTAGCTGTGTGGTTTTATCAGTCTGCTTCCTGCCAGCAGAATTGGGAATCCAGGGTGTCTTCTCATTTTGTGCTGTTTCTGTATTCTTCAGTCCAAGTTGGCAGTGTTGCTGCTGATAAACTTTTCTCAAAAACTTTGTGGGTCCTCTGTAAATTTCACTGGGGTTCATTCCGTTTGGATGATAGTTTTACCCACAAATTCTTTGAGAGAAACCCTTTTTGCTTTGGGTTCCTACTGAGTTGGGTAAGGGACAATATGGTTAAGCTTCCTTAGAGGCCTTATTGTTAAATTGAGAGGACCTGTGAGTTATACCCTTAATTTGTTTAAAGGACTGTGTGTGACTGAATTATTGGGGACCATTTTAGAAGCAGCCTACTTACAGAGGTTAATTTATCTAATCAAAGTAGTTTGCTGACTTGTGCTCTAATAGATTCTTCAGAAAGTGTCCATGGAAACAACATTCCCTGAGTTCTTAATTTTGATAACAACTGCTCAGTGCCCTTTATACCTAAAAGTCAGTTTTGCTGGATATAAAATTCTTGGCTGTTTTCTTCCGTGTGTATGTTAAACAGATTGTTCCATTTTCTTCTGGCAAAAAGTATTGATGTTAAAAAGTCTGATAATCTAATTTGGATTCTTATTCTTTATTTGTTCCTTTATTTTCTCCTAGAAGTCATTTGCTCATTTTGCCTAGATGCTCAAAGGATTTTTTTCTTTTAAAGTCCCATAATTTTACTGGAATATGTCTTGATATTGGTCATTATAAAGCACATATTCTCAGATAGACCAAGACTATGTACTCTGTCAATATGTAGTTTAAAATAAGATATTTTCTTTGAATTTTGGTTTTTCGTATTTCCTAACTTTGATTTTCTCCTTCCTATTATTCATATGCTGGATTCCTTCTTTTTCCCTTTTTAATTTCTTTCTTTCTTTTTTCTTTTTTTGCCTTCAGTATTTGGTCATTTTGTCTTTAATTTTATCTCTTCATTTTTTATTTTTAAAATATTTCTTCTGTTTCCAATTATTTTAAATTGAAAAACATTTAAGTCTTTTGAAGGCATTATTCTGTTTCACATTTAATTTCTTCTAAGAATATCTATTATATTTATTAACTCTTGTCTTTCTTCAAGATTAGTCTTCATTTCTTAAATGATTTTTTTCATTTCTTATTTTCCCCTGAGTTCTACTGCTTCATTTCTGAGTTTTTATAATCATAATTTATGTTGTTCTTTCCTGTCTGGTATCATTTTTTAAAATATCTTTTAGCTTGTTTTAAAATAGTAAGTTACAATTTTAATATGTTTTTGTGGACATGTCTTTCTAGCTGCTTTCCTTATCCATAGGAATGTTATTTTTTTTCTCATCATAACTTTGGATGAGTTTAACCTTGTACTTTTTTATTGCTCACTTATACATGAAAATAGTTTTCTTGAACCTTTAGAAGAAGGAATGATTCAGAACATCTTTATTAATTTCACAGATCTCCCTCTTCTGATTTTTTTGGTAAAATATTAAATACTGTGATGGCTTGTTTTCTGAGATGTCATGGTCCACCCCCTCCCTCAAATGTATCTGTACCTTTTCACTCTTTTTTCTTTGTCCATATTCTATTTCTGTTCTGAGAAGTTTCCCTTCAGTGTGGTGCCCATCCTGAAAAGGTGCTTTGGCTGGTTGGTTTCAAGAGTTCGTGTTTCCCAGCCTTCTGACCCCTTTCAGAACTTACCAAGGGCCCCTTGCACTCATCTTTTGGTTTGGTGAAACACCTCCCACTTTAATGTTCTCAGATAGGCCCACTGTGATTTTCAGAGTCCGGCTGACTTTTGTATGCCATGTTGCTAACTTCTCTGTCCTCCCACACATTCATTCCATGCAGGTATTATGACTGTGTTGGCTGTTTCCACCTACT